ATAAAAAGAAGAACCAGCTAGAAATGAAGAATACAGTAACTGAAATGGGTACATTAGAAGGAATCAAAAGATTAGAGGAAGCAGAGAATTGAATCAGTGATTTAGAAGATAAGGTAGTGGAAAACACCCATCAAAACAGCTAAAAGAAAAAATTTTAAAAATTAGGATAGTTTAAGGGGCTTTTGGGACAACATCAAGCATAACAACATTTGCATTGTGGGGGTACCAGAAGCAGAAGAGAGAGAACAAGGGATTGAAAACCTATTTGAAAAAAAAGAATGACTAAAAACTTCCCTAAGCTGGTAAAAGAAATAGATGTACAATTTCAGGAAGCACAGAGTCCCAAACATGACAAACCCAAAGAGGCCCACATGAAGACACATCATAATTAAAATAGCAAAGGTTAAAAACAAAGAGAGGATCTTAAAAGCAGCAAGTGAAAGTCAGTAAGTTACCTAAAAGGGAGGTCCCATGTCAGCTAATTTCTCGACAGAAACATTTCAGACCAGAAAGGACTGTTGTGAAATTTTCAAAGCAATGAAAAACAAGAACTTACAATAAAAAATATTGGGTTGTCCAAATGGTTCATTCAGTTTTTAAGTAAAAATAAATACACATTTTTCATTTTCACCAATAACTCTACTGAACAATGTATGAGCCATTTTGTTCCACTATCTTCTGCCATCTTTCAGGCAGCTTTGTAACCCCATCTTCCAAAACTTTTTATCTTTTTGAGCAAAGAACTGTTCGAGATGTCTTTTGTGGTCTTCCAATGAATTAAATTTTTTTTTCCATTAAGTGAATCTCATAAAGGCCGAAATAAATGGAAATCTGAAGGTGCAATGTCTGGTGAATTCAGCAGATGAATCAGAACTTCTTAGCCAAGCTGTAACAGTTTTTTCCTGGTCATTAAAGAAACATGCAGTCTTGTGTTATCCTGACGGAAGATTATGCATTTTCTGTTGACTAATTCTGGACACTTTTTGTCAAGTGCTGCTTTCAGTTGGTCTAATTGGGAACAGTACTTTTTGGAATTAATCATTTGATTTTTTCCAGTCCCACCACATACACAACATCACCTTCTTTGGATGAAGACTGGCCTTTGGTGTAGGTGGTGGTGGTTCTTTCACTTGCCCCATGATCTCTTCCATTCCACTTTATTGTAAAGTATCCACTTTTCATTGCCCATTACAATTCCTTTTAAAAATGGAACATTTTGATTATGTTTAAGTAGAGAACCACATGTGGAAATATGGTCAAGAAGTTTTTTTCACTTAATTTATATGGAATCCAAACATGAAAGCAATTAACAAAACCAGGCTGGTGCAAATGATTTTCATCTCTTCATTTGGATATTTTGAGTATGTCAGCTATCTCTTGCATCGTATAACATTGATTGTTCTTGGTTAATGTCTTGGTTTGATCACTATCAACTTCAGTTCACCTACCTGACCATGGAGCATCGCCCAGCAAGAAATCTCCAGCATGAAACTTCAGAAACCATTTTCAACACATTTGATCAGTCACAGCACCTTCTCCATATATTGCTTAAATCTTTTTTTGCATTTCAGTTGTGTTTTTTACCTTTCTCAAAATAATAAAGCATAATATGCCAAGAAAATAAGCATAAAATACTTTTCTTCCATCTTCAATATTAAAATGGCTACACAAAAATTCACTAATTTTGATGTCTTTTTTAAATGCATGCTGATATGGCATCTGTCACAATACAATCAAACAATATTGTTTCGAATGAAGTTAGACAACAAAGCACTGCTAAAGCCATCTTATGGGGGGAAAATGAGCAAAATATCTGGCCAACCCAGTAAGGCTATCATTTAAAATTGAAAGAGAAATAAAGAGCATCTCAAACAAGAAAACCTTATATGAGTTTGTTACCACCAAACCAGTATTACAAGAAATGTTAAAGGGTCTACTTTAAGAAGAAAAAAAATAATAAAAAAAGTAACATCGTTAAAAGAAAAAATGACAATAAATGTTTACCCATCAATGATTACTTTAAATGTAAATGGCTTAAGTGCTCCAATCAAAAGGCAGAGAGTGGCTGAATGGAGAAGAAGACCCATACACATACACTGACTACAAGATACCCACTTCAGAATGGAAGACACACAGACTGAAAGTAAGGGGATGAAAAAAGGCATTTCATGCAAATAAAAATAGACTTAATAGACAAAATAGACTATAAAACAAAAACTATGACAAGAGACAAAGGAGGTTCCATCAATTCTACTTCTGAGTACTTACCTGAAGAAATTCAAAGCATTAATTCAAAAAGACATATGCATCCCTGTCTTCACTGCAGTATTATTTACAATAGCCAGGATATGGAAGCAATCTAAGTGCCCATTGATAGACAAATGAATAAAAAAGATGTGATACACATATACAATGCAATATTGTTCAGCCATAAAAAAAAAAGAGTGCAGTCTTACCATTTGTGACAACATGGATAGACCTAGAGAATATCATGTTAAATGAAATCAGGCAACGAAAGACAAATACTATAATTTCACTTACATGTGGAATATAAAATATAAAATAAATGAACAAACAAAGCAGAAACAAACTCAGATACAGAAAACATTTGGATGGTTGCCAGAAGAGAAGGTGTTAGGAAGATGGGTAAAAAAAAGGCAGAGATTAAGATGTGCAAATTGCCAGTTATAAAAAGCCACAAGGATGTACAGCATAGGGAATATAGTCAGTAATGTTGTAATAACTATGTGTGGCATCAGATGGATACCAGACTTCTCAGGGGATCACTTTGTAAGTTATGTCTAGTCACTATGCTGTGACACCTGAAACCAATATAACCATACTGAAACCAGTATGTTAACTGCAATTGAAAATTTTTTTAAAAATTTAAAGTTAACATGTATTTTAAAGCTCTAATAAATAAAGAGTATGACACTGGCACAAAAATCCACAGAGAGCCCTGGCTGGTGTGGCTCCATGGATTGAGCACCAGCCTGAGAACCAAAGGGTGGTCAGTTAGATTCCCAGTGTAGGGCACAGGCCTGGGCTGCAGGGGTGGTCCCCAGCAGGGAGTGTGCAAAATGCAACCACACACTGATTTTTCTCTCCCTCTCTTTCTCCTTGTCTTCCCCTCTCTAGAAATAAAATAAATAAAATCTTTTTAAAAATCCAGAGACATTAAAGAACCACAGCTTGGTAACAGAGGCTAAATTATGTGGGAAGTTGGAAAGGTCTCCGAAGGGCTAGCTGTGTGATGTGCTAGGGAGGCCGAATTCTAAGCCCAGGGAACTCCGGCTTCTCCCATGCTCACTTGTCCCCAAAGATCCCTGCATTCCAAGTGTGGAGTGAATATCCCAGCGTCTGCTGGACATAAAAGCAACCTACATAAAAGCCTGGGTGAGTGGACCAGTGTGGACAGTGGCTGATGACCAGAGGGGTCTCCCTATGTACTGACTCATGTAGGACCTCAGGATCTTTGCATAACCCTCAAGTTAGGGAAAAACAAACAGTTTTAAAATTCTCAAAATAGAGAACCTCTGTCATAGCCAAGACTGAATTTCCTATTTGCCTTGTGGGAAATGTGCTTTCAGTCTAATGTCAGTTTTCTTTAAATTAAGCCTGATGCTTTATTCACAAAATCTTTTTTCATACAAACAAAAAAATATGAGAATTAAAGAATAATAAAATTGTTACCTCTGTCCTTACTCTCTAGCCTGAGAAATAGAATATTATTAGTACTTCCACATTCATTCATATTCCCCTGATCCTAGAAAATTTCAGAATTCATTATTCTGAATTTTGTGTTAATGATTCTTTTATCATGTAAATGTATCCTCAAGCAAAATATTTAGTTTTTGCATGCTTTTTTCACTTTTTATAATTAGAATGATACAGTACTTATATGTTTTCTACTCAGCTTTATCTTTTTGAGGTTCAGTCATGATACTACTGCTGGTATGAGTGTGACACAATTTAATTATCCATACATCTGTTAATAAAGACTTAGAGGACTGTGAGATTTTGGCTACTAGGAACAATGCTATTGTGAATATCTTCCTACATATCTTTCAGTGTACATATGCAAAAGCTTCTCCAGATTGTACACTTTGGAATGAGCTTATCATCAATATTTCTAGGTAAGACCCATCTCTCTTCCAGAGGTTTTATTAATTCACACCCCTGACAGCAATGTATGTGAACTCCCATGCATCTGCCTCCTTAGAATATTTGAAATGGTCAGACTCTTAAAACCTGAGAAAAACAATGTCTCTCCATAGAATTTATGTGTCCATGCCTATACCCTTTCTTAAGGAACAGAAAAGCCTCGTTACATAGATTTGGAAGGATTTTATAAAAGAAGTAAAGTTCTCCCTAAAGTTCAAGGCTAGATCTGAAATTTTCAAGGGGACAAAAGTGCAGTAAGGGTCCATAGATCACCCAGTGTCCATTCAAGGAAGCACCCTGCATGGCCTGTTTCCAGTGTAATTGTCCACTAGAAGAAATGGTGCTTCTCTGTACCCTCATCCATACTCATCCCATCAACAAGCAAGGATTAAGTGGCACTACAAAGCATCACTTGCAAGCAAACTGGGGAAATTTTTGCAGTTGGACCCCAGGAAGAATTGCCAAATGTAAAGCACGTTGAATATTCCTGAGCTCTACATGGTGGCAGCCTGTCCCAGTTTTCACAGAGAGTAACTTTCATTTCAGTTAATCTTGTCCTCAGATACACACATTCTTTTCCAGTTTATCTCTCATTTGCCCCTTTTAGTTGCTTTGGAAAATTCTCCTGTTCTGGCAATGGAATCATATGAATAGCAAGTTGCATTAGGGAATCCACTGCAGTATTTTAAGGTTTCGCTAGAAGCCCATTTATAACGCTATCTTTAGAGGAAAAAAAATAGTACAGTTCAAGTTTGGAAGAAAAAAATACAATTGGGACTTCATATTTTGAAACTTGAAACAAGCAAAAAAATTTATTGTTCTTAGCTTTGTTGACCCTACAAATCTTCATCAATGTTTAATGCAACCTAAAAACAAAATAAAAAAAATTTGCTTTAATACAATTAGAACTGTGTAAGTGTACAAGCCAAAGAAAATAGTTTAGGGAATTTTTATGTGACTATGTAAATGAAGCTTTCTCATAATTTAAAATAAAACCCAAGTTCAATATAACTGTGTCCTCAATGTATTTATAACCCACCTTCTCTTGTACTTCTCTTGCTATCCTCTGTTAGCATACTTATCCTTCTTGCAGAAGTCTTCTTCCTGTGACCACCCCTTAAATGCTGGAATTTCTAATAGTTTCACCCTGAGCCCCCTCCTTTTTTCTTCATGCTCTCTTATTTGCCTTACTTGCTCTCTTAGCTTCATTAGCAAAAAAGACCATGGCGGCTGAATTCCCATCTCCTGCATGGACCTCTCTCCTGTCCTCCAGACCTGTGTTGTACATCAACTGGCCTTTGGCTATTTTCACCTGCATATCTCAGAGTTGCCTGAAATTCAACGTATCCACAACTGAAGCCATCGTTTTCACAAAACCGACTTTCTGTTCTTATGTTCCTCAACTCAACAAATGGTAAAGCTCAAAAACATAGAGTCCAGCTGCCCAAGACAGAAATCTGAGTATCATTCTTGATTTCTTTCTCTCCCTTATTCTCTCAGTCAATATCAAATCTACTCAGTTCTGTCCATCTCCATTGTTTGCATCCTTGTCCTAGCTCTGGTCATTTTGCATCTGGATGACTCTAATACTCTCCTAAGTGGTCTCCTGTTTCCACTCCTGACCATATAAATCCTCTCTCCACTTTCTAAAAACACACATCTATTCCTTAAACCCTTTCAATGACTCCCACTTCACCTAAATTCAAAATCTCTAACCCGACAAGAGAGCCCAGTACAATCTGGCTTTTATGCATTTCTCCAGCTCCACACCATCCTCTTGGCTCCATGCAACCCAGCCATAACACTGAACTATGTCAGCTCCTTGAAAGCTTCTTGCTGTCCTCATGTGCTGGGTTTATCTCAGCTAATTCCTTAAACTTCAATTCCTCTAGGAGGCATCCAGGTTGGTTCAGGTTTCCCTGCCCTGTCCTCTCAGAGCACCTTCTTCAATGGCTTATGGCCCCCGAGGGCAGCAACTCAACCTGTTTTGTTCACTGGTATTTTCTAGTACCCTGCATAGCACCAAAACATTTAATAAAAGTTTTCCCAGTGACTGATTATCACCCAGTCCTTCCAGCTCCACTTTCTGAAGAGCTTTTAAAAATACCAGTTGCTATTGCCGGCCATCAATGTCAGCTCTGTCTAGTTGACTGCAATAGCTTCATAACATTCTTCTCAAATCTGTCACTGCATTCTCTTTTATATGGTGTAGCCAGGTGGCCTTTCGAAAATGAAGTCCTAATCATACTGACCTTTAGGATAAAATCTAATAATCTGAGCACAGATTACAAATCCTTTCAGGGACTGGCCTCCGCCTTCTCCCCTCCCTTTTCCCCTCCCTCCCTGCTTCACACTCTCTATAGTCTTTGCTAGCTGGGTCTTCACACTTGCTGTGCTGTCAGCCCCCACCCCACCACCGAGTGACAAATAACTGACTTCCTTCAGGAAGCCTTCCCTGACCAAGGTTCCTCAACTGGACTGTTGTCCCGCTTGTCGGCGCACATGGATTAAGGTGACTAAGTGTATCCATCTGCTAGGACAGTCCCTGTTTACATCTGCTGATCTGTCATTATCAACACTCCTCCTTTCAGTCCCAAAGAATACTGATTTATACAATAAATTACCTGGTCATTCTAACAATGACTATTAATTGCTTATTCAGTTGTCCGTTTCTCCCCTAAAAAAGGTCAAAAACTGTCTTATTCATAACAGCATCAGGCACAATCATTGGCACATAGAAAACACTGTATGTTTCTTAAATGAAAAAATTTATACACTACTGTAAAAGCATATACTTTCATTAAGATACTTATTTGGTTCCAGGGTTTGCTACTGAGAACCAAAATGTTGGCCCCCTAAGTTTAAAGATTATGTATTTCACCAAATTATTTGAAATACATATTTTGAAAATTTCAAAGCCTAACTCCAAAATACATATAAGCACCCTCTGCACAAGAGGGCACACTGCTACCTCAACATGAACTTCCAGCTACTGCTTCATCAGTGCTAACACATTTGGAAGGAGCCAGACATGTGCCCATCCTTGCCTTGTGGACAGCTGCACATGCTCACAAAAGGACAGAGGGCCAAATAGCGATACGGAACACCCGTATTAGGGAACTGGTTTTCTTTCTATGAAGCAAAAGGCCCATTTGCCAACCAAATCTGACCTCATATGTGCAAGGCTTTCCCAAAGTAAAAAAAGAAAGTTTGGTTTTCACAAAACAATCTCCCCTAAAGATACTTACATCGGATAGCATTGGTTCATCAAGTTCTTCCACTGTGCTCAAGTTAGGTGCCCCATATCGATCACTAATTTCAGCTAATGTCTTGCCTGAGTCTGTTCCTATACCCTACAATCATAAAATTTATTTTGACTTTTAAATGACTTCAAAATTAATACATCAAGTTTCCTTCAATTTTGATAAGAAATTTCTCAACTACAACATCAAAGTTCAACCTTGTCAATTAATGGAATGAATGAACATGTGTTGATGATAAGAGAATCCTAGGAATGAATTCTAAAACTTGCTTAAAAATACATTCAGAAATTTAAAATATCTGAGTAATTAATCATGTGGTCAATATCTTGTAAAATTCTTGTTTTTAAATTTACAAACACAAACTTAATTTCCAATTTTTATCTACTTTGAGGTTTTGCTTTAAAATTCAGTTTCAAGCCACACATATCTGTGGCTTGATATTACTAGAATATGTATTTGGCCTATCAGTTTTGATAATCTCCTGATTAAAAATTTAGCTACTGCCTTGGCTGGTGTGGCTCGGCTAGCCTGTAAACCAAATGGTCGCTGGTTCAATTCCCAGTTAGGGCACATGTCTGCGTTGTGGGCCAGGTCCCCAGCAGGGGGCGCATGAGAGGCAACCACACATTAATGTTTCCCTCTCTCCCTCTCTTCCCCTCTCTCTAAAAATAAATAAATAAAATCTTTTTTAAAAAATTAGCTACTAATGCATCATAATTAAGTTTAACATAGAATAAATGTTTTTTCTCACTTTTATATGGGGAGTATCTTCACTCTTAGCTATATTTTCCATTTTCATTTTCATCTCCTGTAATACATAAACAAAGAAAACTACTTGGAAAATACTTTTCATGTACATGTTTAGTTTTCAAGCATTTTTATCTTTACATAATGCTATGATCAATTTAACAGTGCAAATGTTATCACTCTTAAAGGAGTTATTTGAATACAATTAATATAAAACTGCCAATCAGTCTCATTTAATACTCTATACTCATAGAAGATGACCATGTGCTGTTTACAATTAAAAACAATTTTTAAAAAATGAAACAGACTGAAATATTAAGTCTGAAGCTGAAGCAAAATATTAGCAAATATAAAAAGCAACAAAACAAAATTTTTAATAAAGTCTTAGAATAAGAGACTTTAGACAGAATTTGCAGTTGAATAGAATTGTACACATAGTAAGAGGTAAATATTTCTGAAGAAATTAATCTGGCCGCAGTCACTATCCAGTGCATGAATCCTCCCATAGTACCTGAGCAATGCCCTCTACAGTACTCTGAACACATGGGAAGCCTTGTTCTGAATGTGAAAAGATTCTTCTGACAAAGCCTTGCCATGTCTTCTATCTTTTCATTCTAAGGCAGCAAGATGACCTAACTGATTCTGAGCTGATTCATTTTGGCTGTTTAAAAATCTGTGATCTCGTGAACATATATATGGGCACCATAATTACAGGAACATATCTGGTATATTTCTCAAGGCCATTCCATTCTCCTGGAACATCTTAGCCCACCACCACATGGCTATACTGGGAAAGTCCATGTTCTCATAGGACCCTGTCCCCCAGCCAATGGATAAATACTTGACACAAATTAAGCCAGTCAGAATCCTTCCCCAAGAAGCAAAAAAAAAAAAAAAAAAAAAGGAATCCATTCCTCTCAGATGGCAGATGTGAAACCCAAGAGGCTTTAGTGCTGTGTCCTTCACTTCTAGGCAGCAAACCAGGCCACTGCAAGAGAGACTGAAACTAAGGGCCAGAGAATAGCAGAACTGAGGGCCCAGGTAACACTTGATTTTCACGTTCCCAGTTGTGCCAGAGCCCTTCACAGTTTCATTATAAAACCCTTTATCTGACACAAGATCCTTCCAATAGTTTTCCTTTCACAAATGATAGTTTAAGTTGTATCTCTGCAGCTACAAAGAGGCCAGGGCAAAATGACATAAATGGACCTGTCTCTGAGCAATAGGTAAGGCAGGGGCACTTTGCAGCAGAGAGGTGAGGAGTGATAAGCCACTAGAAATATGGACTATTGAAGTTATTGTGGTTCTTGTCACAAGGTCTGATGATGCCTGCAGAGAGTAAGTAATGGGCCACAAAACAACCGAATTCCTCCTATAAATCACAGACTTTCAAACATTCAAATATAGTGTGAACCTTGAGGGGAAAAAAAGACACCTACTAAGAAGGGCACCCCTGGCTTCTTTTTTAAAAGCAGACCCTAGCAACCATTTCTACACAGGGTCTTCTCATGCAAACTGCACTCCACAGAGAAGCCCGCACTGAACTACCTGTCTCTGTGCTGGACTGCCTGCCTGCACTATGTTTCTACCATCTGAGCCAGCCCTTATAAAGAAGTTCCTGGAATCCCACTTCAACAAGCATGACTGAGGCTTTCCCTATCCCATTGGAGCAGTACCAGCTCTGATCAATCAGATGTCTTTTGTCGTTTGGACCAAACTGTGAGGTTTTGTAGTCCTCATTTGCACAAGGATGGACCAATCAGGCACTAAGGACAAGGACTTCTGCCCACATAAGCCAGCTCTCCACCTGGCTCAGAAAGTACACTTTCCCTTCCATGGAAGAATGAAGACTGTATGTCATCCCTGACTGAGCTGAACTGCCAAATATGTCTAACCAGAGCAGAGTGAAACATGCCATCAGAGAGCGGAGCAGACCAGTGTAGCACAAAGCAGACTGACATGGAGCAGAGCAGAGCTGTCCAGCATGAGAGGGGCCTGGTCCCAGGGCTGCCTGGGCTCAGAGTTGTTCCACAGCCGTGCTGTTTTCATAGCCTTGCTATATTACAATTGAGCTGTTTTGCACTGAAGTGTCCTTCTTCACTGCACCCCAAATTGGGGATCCTCGTTGGTATTGAATTGGTGCAAACTACCATTGGTTAACAATAGCAATCAGGGTATCTCAATAAAAAATACTTTCAATTCTCTTATCACTTTGATCATTGCCTTCTTATATTCTGTTTCTTCTTTCATTTTAGATCATGCAATTTTAACTAATGAGGAGGATATATTTGTATTTATGTGTTTGTGCATGTATGTATATCTGTGCCCTACTATACTCAGAAAAAGATAGGATCAGCATCTGTATATTTTAAAAACATGTATAAAGCTTTGAATTTATCCTTTTAAAACTCATGTTTTTAAATTCAGCTTACCCTTACAATGTTTTAAAAATTATTTTAAATAATGAAGCTCTCATCTAAGCTATTAATAAACATTCTATAAAACCTGATCCTGTTTTTATTTTTAATTATGTAATAGAAGAATAAAATTCACATAACAGATATTAGCTATAGACATACAGTATGAAATATCCAACTGAAAGTATAGCACAGTCATTCAGAAGTTTGGTCTATATGATACACATTTTTTAAATAACAAGAAACATTGGCCAAACTAGAGGCTTAACATATTATACAGACAGTGTAAATGGAGATGGATTTTTTTATTTGTTACTGCATTGTTTATTTAATAAAAGACATGAAAAATCCATATTGATATTTTAAATGTAAATTACTGTTGAAAATATATCAAACATGAAGAAAAAAGATGCACTACTATGTCAGAGATCAGGATACTCCAATATTACAAAGAACTTAACCTTCAATATCAACCATCATAATTATAAATATCAAACACCATAATTAGAAACAATGATCTCATAATTAAAATGTTGATAATATCACTTTTAGAGAACGATTAATATCACTATTATAAAACTGCTCACAAAATAGTTTTGCATGTATGATCTTATGTGATCCTTAAAAAATTTCAGTGAGCTATTGCTGGTCATATTATACTGTTATCTCTATTTTTAAAAAAGGTAAACTGAGACTAAAAAAATTCTAAGACTTGTGGAGAAATCAAGATGGTGGAGGAGTGAATGGAAGTCACACTGACCTCTTCCCATGACCAATCTGGAATTACAACTAAATTGTGCAGAAATCACCTAAAACAAACAACTGAACAATAGAGAGAGAGAAGCCTTAAAACCTCAGACAGACAGAAGAATCAGCTTTAGCACAACCTAAATAATAAGGAGTGCGGTAGAGACTCAGGAAAGCAGGCAGGGCACCCACGGGTGGCAGCACCACAAGGATATTGAAATGGCCAGTTGGATCCTCCTGAGGAAGGGGGGGGGTCTAAACTATAATTAGGGATCTCCAGCCTACAGCACCAGAGCCCAAAAAGTACACAGATAACAACCACCTACAAAAACCAGCAAGGTTGCTCTCTGCCAGAGACAAGTGGCTGGAGATGCGAGCCTTTTAAAGAGCCAATGCATACATTTTTATTTGCAGCCACTAACCCTCGTCTCTGGGAAAGAAGTGGGCAGAGTGAGCTATAGACACCTAAGGAGAGACTGGGGAAGGAAGCTTTGGGGAGAGAACAGAGAGTAGCCAGCAGGATCCTGGTGCTGACTAATTCCCCATTCAGCAGCAGCCATCTGGCTCAGGCAGACCACTCCCCTGAGCAGCAACATTGTGAGAGGACACAATCACCCCACCCCCAGGAGGGACTCTGCCACACCCTGTGGTGTCTCAGCCTGACTGTTGAGTGCAGAGTGACTAGATTAACAGCTGAAGGAGACAGCCACAGACAGTAGACTCCTGGAAGTCTTGAACAGACTGCCTAAGGTCAGACAGGGTCAACATCTGACATCAACAGAGGCAGATCCAGAAAGAAAAAACCAGCGGTCTCCTACCATAGGAGTTCATACCACAAAGTCAGGAAATCAAGACAGATCAATTTAAGAAGCAGAAGAAGAAAAGAAAAAGTCTCACAAATAATGGGAAGACAAAGAAATACCCCCCAGGCAAAGGGAAAGGAGAAATCCCCAGAAAGAGAAATAAATGAAATAGTGGCAAGTAAACTATCAGATATTGAGTTCAAAACAATGGTTCTAAAGAAGCTCAATGAGCTCAGTGAGCTCAGAGAGAATTACAAAAACTACAAGGAAACCACAACGAACTTACTGAAAACTATATCAGCATGAAAAAGGACATAGAAAATGAAGAATACAATTTCTGAATTGAAGAACGCAGTAGAAAGAATCAGAAGCAGGCCAGATGAAGACGAGGATTGAATCAGCGAGCTGAAGGTAGAAAAAAGCTCCCAGAAAGAGCAAGAAAGTGAAAAAAGACTCAAAAAGAATGAAGAGGTATTGAGGGAAATGCAGGACAACCTGAAACGTAATAATATCTGTATAATAGGGTTGGTTACCAGAAGGAGAGGAAGAGGAGCAAGAGATAGAGAACCTGTTTGAAAAAGTAAAGATGGGAAACTTCCCTAACTGGAGGAGAGAAAAAGTCACACAAACCCAGGAAGCACAGAAGATCCCATTCAAGAGGAACCCAATGAGGCCCACTCTAAGACACATCATAATTAAAATGGCAAATATCAAAAACAAATAGAGAATCCTAAAGGAAGCAGGGGAGAAAAAGGTAGTAATATATAAGGGAGCCCCGATACGGCTAGCAGCTGACTTCTCAACAGAAACACTACAAGCCAGAAGGGAATGACAAGAAATATTCCAAGTTATGAAAAGCAAAGTCCTGCAACCAAGATTGCTCTACCCAGCAAGGCTCTCAATTAAAATGGAAGGTGAAATAAGGAGTTTCCCAGACAAAATAAGGCTAAAAGAATACACCTCCACCAAACCAGCAATGCAAGATATGCTAAGGGGACTGTTTCAAGAAGATAAGAAAGGAAGTCTATGAATACCCAGTTCCTTTCACAGTCAGCAATACTTGATATTACCAAGATTTTTAATACTTATTAATCTGATTGTGACAATTATGTGTTATTTTAGGTGTTTATTATTTGTTGGAACTAAACCTGTTTTTGTATATTTCTTGCTTATTTCTATTATTTTTAAAAAGTTTTAAATGACTTTTTGGTATTCTTTATCCATTTGTTGATTAAAGGTTTGTAGAATTTTTTCCCTAAAAGAATACCAAAAACCTGTTAATCATGTTTTAAATGTGTTGGAAACACTTTCCTATTCTATTCCTTATCCTTTAACTTTTTTTATATGTATATTACTGTATAGTCTTAAATGTTTAAATAGTCATATCATCAATATTTTACTTTATAGTTTCTGAGTTTGAATATTTTACTTCAGGGTAAGAAAAATATTATTTTGTATTTTTTCCTAAAACTCCATAGATCTCACATATTGATTTTTTAACTCACCTGAATATTTGTTGTATAATGTGTGAAATAGGGCTCTATATTTGTTTTATTTCAAGTAATAGTGGTCTATGCACCTTATTTGTTGAATAAGCCTTATTTTCCCCATTGATTTGAAATATCAATTTAATCATATATTACATTGTTAGACAGATATATATGTTTGTTCCAGAATGCTCATTTTATTTCATTGATCTCCTTGATTATTTCTGTGCTAGTGTCATGTTCTTTTAATTGCTGAGACTTTATAATGGATTTAAATTTTTTAATATTTATAATGGATTTTGACTTTAAAAAATAAATAAATAAAATCAATCTTCATTTAAAAAAAAAGAAAGAGGGAATAAAAAGAAAGAACTCTTATGTTTTGCAACAACATGGATGAAACTGGAAGATATTATGCTAAGCGAAATAAGCCAGTTGGTGAAAGACAAATATATGATCTCACCTATAAATGGAGTCTATTCAACAAAATAAACTAATGAACAAATTAACCACTGTCTTGGAAACATGGAGCAGACTGAAAGTGACCAGAGGGCAAGGAGGACAATGGTGGAAAGAAGGAGAAGGGACTAAACAAAGAACATGTATGAATGACCCATGGACATGGACAACAGCGTGGGAGTTGACTGTGGGAGCAGAGGGAAGGGTAGGATGGGTGGAGGAGGGCAAAGGGAGAAAAACTGAGACAACTGTAATAGAATAAATATGATTTTAAAATAAAAAAATTTTAATTTTAATTTTAAAAAAGTTCTAAGACTTGTTTAAGTCACACAGCTAATGTGTGGCAGGTCTTTATAGTAAGAATCCCACAGTAACATCTAGAAAAAAACAGGTTCAGAATTCTAAGAGGTTTTAAATACAACAGGCATTTATAAAACTTCAAATTACCTTGTCTAATTGTTCTTGAGCTTTCTGTAGTTCTATTCTCTGTCTCTCTTTTTCTTGCATTTCCAACTCCAGCTGTAAGGCCAGCTGTTGCTGAATATTGAAAGAAAGAAAGAAAGAAAGAAAGAAAGAAAGAAAGAAAGAAAGAAAGAAAGAAAGAAAGAAAGAAAGAAAGAAAGAAAGAAAGAAAGGAAGGAAGGAAGGAAGGAAGGAAGGAAGGAAGGAAGGAAGGAAGGAAGGAAGGAAGGAAGAAAGTCATGTTAGAATCAAGTCAGTTGCAAAAAATTTCCTTTATCACTCTGAAATGTCCAAGGATAATTAATTTTACACCCACCTAAATTTCAGAAACTTACAAAAATAAATGATCACAGGTATCTAATACTTTACTTTTATAAATACTTCCTGAAATACAAAATTAAAAAGGAAACTTCCTTAATTTCAAATTGTAGAAAAGCACAGCTTGTACAAAATCAAGTCATCTTCTCTTGTTTTCTTGAAGCAACAAATGAGATTACAGTAATTTTTTCAGATAAAACCTCATTAAGCATAGATGGATGGGTCTTCAAAAAACCAAAACTTGGTTACAGATAGTGAATAAGAAAATCCTAAGTATATTATTTGAAATCATTCATAATCACAATATATTTGGCCGCAACTCAACATAAATGACATACTAAAGTCTGTGGGCCAAACCTGACCCACTCTTGTTTTTGTACAGCCCTCAAGCTAAGAATTATTTTTACATTTTTAAATGGTTGAAAAATATCAAATAATAATAATAATTATGTACAATTCAAATTTCAGTATCTATTAATAAAGTTTTATTGAAACACTGCATGGTCACTCCTTTGCTGCTTTTGCACTATGGTAGCACAGCTAAGTAGCTGCAACACAGACCACAGGTGGTGTTCTCTTCACTCTGCATCACACTCAGCACACTAACAATCACAGTGACACTGTTATAATTCAACAGTTTTGCAGTTACACAGTAACACTACACTGCAATATTTATTTTTAATCAGTGAATACCCATCCTATTATTTTATCAACAAGAAATGAATTTGAATGTTGCCCTTTTAAGACACAGTGGAGAATGGATTATTTAATTACCAAATTAAATGACAAAGCATGGTGTTTTTTAGAGTGGACACTGTACTAAAAGAACACAATTGTGTCAATATTACCAGATTAAGCACTCATCACAATATTATCAACTCATGTGAAAAAAAGCTCAGAAATATCTTAAAAGTTAAAACAATTATTTCATTACAACATAATTTTTTCACAAAAATTAAAATGAGGTTGCAACCAAAATGCTTCCCAGTGGCTCATTTGTAATGTAAGAAAAGAAATACATTTTCCTAACATGATTTAATTAAAACATGTTTGATTTCAGTGTCCAGGAAAAAACAAAGTTATTTAACTTTTTTCGCCTTTGGGCAAGAAAAGTTGCTCACAGAGCTGACAGTGGGAGAAACATCAATAGTCAATTAAAAACAAGGCAAAATGATTCTGAGTGGTTTTCTTTGGCTGTTGATGAGTGGACAAATGTTCCCAACACTGCTCAGTTGTTGTTTATTCAAGGAGTCAATGCTGAGTTTGAAGTGACTGAAAATTCACCCACTTTGAAGTCTTCATGAGACTACTCAAAGCAATAATATTTTTGAAGAAGTTGAGAAACATTAATTCAGTCCATCCAAAAATGAAATCTGCTAAGACATGTTACAACAAATGATGATAAAAATATGCATGGAACATAGAAAGGCTTAGTTGGACAAATTTACAAAGCTTGTAAAAATCCAGTGTTTAAAGTCTATGAGAATTCATTGTTTTATTCAACAGCAGTTACTCTGAAGAAAATCTGTCATGTGTATTGAGCCAGTAGTGTCAACAGTGTCCTTCATTTACTCTTATGAACTTAACCACCATCACTCCTGTGAATTTTTGTCAGCATTAGAAGATGAATAAACTGTGACTTGCCCTACCACACAGCAGTTTCATGGCTTAATGATGATAATGTTTTATGGTGAATTTTTGAGCACAGGGTCAAGACTGAAATGTTTCCAAATGAGAAGAATCATTCTCAACTACTAGTATCAAAGATTAAATAGCTCTGGAATTAGCTTTTCTTGCAGATTTAATAATGTTTTTTAATCAATTCAACCTGAAATTGTAAGGCAAAACAGCACATACATGTAAAACTTATATTTCAGAAAAATAATTTCAACAACAATTAATGTTTGAATCACAATGTCACACTGCTTTGTATACTTCCAGTACTGTCAAAAACTAAAACAATAAACTAGGTTTCCATTCCCATACAAATTTGCAGCAGATATATTTTCCAAGCTCAACCTGTAGTTTTAGAGTGTTGTTAGGCCACAATGTAAGTAAAAAGAAAATTTCCACATTTCAAAATCCATATAACTGTGTAAGCTTGTACCAACTTCAATATAACTGTGAAGCTTGTACCAACTTCAATGGGAGTGATTAATATACAAGGCAATGACATGCTAAAAGGCAATTATCGGGAGGAGGAGAAAAAGATGGCGGAGGAGTGAAAGGGAGTCACGCTGACCTCCTCCCAAAACCAAACTGGAATTGCAACTAAATAATGGAGTAATCACCTGGAAAGCAGTGGAGCGATAGTGGGAGAGGAGCCTTGGTGCCGCGGACAGTGGATTCGACTCTCACACATCCCAACGGGTGAGAATTGCGGTGGAGGCTCGAGAGGGTGGGCTGGGTGCGCACGGGCACTGGCACCAGAGGGACATTGAAACGGCCAGTTAGCGTCCCCCGGGGAAGAACGGGGTCTGAATCATAAACAGGAACCCCTAAACTACAGCCGCTAAAGCCGAGAAAATACAGACAAAACACAACCCCAAAAAGCTTAGGGGCACTCTCTGCCAGAGACAGGTGGCTGGGGATGCAAAAAGACATTTAAAGGGCAAACGCAAAAGTTGCAGCGGCAGCCACCCTCCTTGATCGCTGGGTACAGGCGGCAGCAGGGTGGGCTGGTGCCTGGGAAAAGACTGGTGAGGAAAACTTTGTGAGGAGAACTGACTCTGCGGCCGGTGGAGCCTGGGTGATGGCGCACTTCCCACTCTGCAGCTACCATCTCGCTCAGGCATAAGGGAATCAATTAACCTGACTTTTGTGTGCTCCACACACAGCTTGTAAGCATGTGAGCTGCAGGGCTGAGTGCAGACTGTCTGGGAGAGCCTTGAGGAGAGACTGGAGACAGTGGCGTTGGGGAAAGAACGGGAGGAGGAACCGGGGAGTCCCGACTCCCTCCCCGTTCGGTAGTCTCCATTATGGGCTGGAAAGGCGCGACCCCAAAGAGGCAGAAGCGGGGCGCGCATGAACCAGACTGCCTGCGATTGAAAACGCAGTCAGGGGTTGGATCCTCAGCCGAAGGGGTCACAGAACTGCCCAGAGGCCCCTGAGGGGAGACTAGAAACGGAGGCATTGGGGAAAGAACGGGAGGAGGAACCGGGGAGTCCTGACTCCTTCTCCTTGCCGAAGTCTCCATTGCGCGGGAAGAGGCCACACCCCCAAAGAGCCAAAAGCCGAAAAGCAAACATAGACACCCCCAAAACACCCAGAGCAGGCGCGCACACTTGCGCCGAGTGACTGGCGAGGATTGGCGAGCGTGTGTGTGACCCACGCGGGCTGGCGAACGCTTGCACCTGCCGGCAAGGCCTCACACAGACTGGCACCCATACGGCCTGCGAGGTATTGCACAGAGGGGCAAGGGCAGGCACAAATTGACCTACCCGCCGCGATTGCGGAGCAGCCCACAAAATAAGTAGAGCTGCCCAGAGTCCCTGGAGGAGAGACCAGAAACAGGATTAACCGGAGAGCTGATTTCCTCCCATTTCCGTAGTCCCCATTTGGCGAGGGCAAGCAACGCACCCAAAGAGCCAAAAGTGGGGAAAACACACAATAGAAGACTCTAAACTGACCAGTGCCGCGAAGCTCGCGTGCCAGGGAGTTCAGATGAGCACGGGAGGTCGCGAATAAGCCCCCTGGTCTGGGGCAAACACATGCGAGCCCAGGCAGGTGGGGGACCCTGCCGCGCTGGGAACGCGCTCAAGGAGCTCTCGTGAGAGCGCAGAGAGATCCCAAAAAATAGCCCAGCCCTGACCGAAGGGGTCACAGAGCTGCTCCAAGCAGGAGTCAGACACAGGCATTAGACTCCTGAAAGGCTCAAACAAACAACCCAAGGCCCTATAGGGTCAACAACTGACATCATCAGAGGCAAGCCCAGAAAGAAAAGTAAAGGACAAAAATACTTAACAGACTCTCACAAAAATGGGAAGAAAAAGAAGTTCTCCCCAAATGAGTGGAAAAGGGGACTCCCCACAGAGAGAGCTCAATGAAATAGAGGCAAGGGAACTATCAGATATGGAATTTAAAACAATGGTTCTAAGGAAGCTCAATGAGCTCAGCCAGCTCAAAGAGAACTATGAGAAACTGCAGAGAAACTATCAGGATCTTACAGCAAACTATATCAGCCTGGAAAAGGACATAGAAACTATCAAGAAGACACAAGAGGATATGAAGAATACCATTTCTGAATTGAAGAACACAGTAGAAGGAATCCAAAGCAGGCTGGATGAAGCTGAGGATCGAATCAGTGAGATGGAGGATAAGGTAGAAAAAAGCTCCCAGAAAGAGCAAGAAATGGAAAAACGACTCAAAAAGAATGAAGAAGCATTTAGGGAAATGCAGGACAACCTGAAACGCAATAATATCCGTATAATAGGGATACCAGAAGGAGAAGAAGAGGAGCAAGGAATAGAGAACCTCCTCGAAAAAGTAATGATGGAAAATTTCCCTAATTTGAGGAGAGAAAGGCTCTCATGGATCCAGGAGGCACAGAGGACCCCACTCAAGAAGGACCCAAGGAGGTCCACTCCAAGACACATCATCATTAAAATGGCAAATGTCAAAGACAAAGAGAGAATCCTGAAGGCAGCAAGGGAGAAGGAGAAAGTAACATACAAGGGGGCCCCGATACGCCTAGGAGCTGACTTCTCAACAGAAACACTCCAAGCCAGAAGGGAATGGCAACAAATATTCCAAGCCAT